TGACATTTCTTTGACCGGATCCAACAAGTCGTTTTCGGGTCCGATGAAGGGCTCTACCTGCAATATCCTATATTATACATGCATTAATCTTGCATTAAACTTGTGAAATCGTTAATTTTATTTGTTCTTTTCTTTTCATGCACAAAATACATTGTTTAGAGTGTTGTATAAGAAGAGTAAATAGCAACGGTTGCATTTGTTTCTTCACATGCTTCAATATATATATATATATGAATCATTTTCTTCGTCCTTACTCCTTTTTCAGAAATCTGACGATGTCACTGGCGAAACGAATTGCCTTTGATGTTTACATTATGACTGATGAAATATGGTCAGAGAATAATAATAAAATAAAAAGTCACAAGAAAAAAACCGTGATCATAAAAAACTTTTTATTAAGAAACTCAATCAGAAAACACAGCACAAATAGAAGTTCAGAGATTTTTTTTTGAAAACTTAACAGACAAAACATGAACTTAACAGCTATAAATGAGACAGTTACTTCGTTTAATTGAGACTATACATGAGAAGATCATTGAATCGACAATAAAGTGGCCCTGCCATGGTGATGAAATTTGTGACAGTAAAGCATTTCATGCAACGTGACAATAATCTTAGTCTTTCCACATCTGTAGAATATCTGAGAATCAATCAGCTACTAAATTGATTGTTATAACGTGGATTGTATCAAAATCATGACAGATACAAACATATGTGTGCAATGTCACATACAATTTTACAAACTTTTTGGCCTTTAAGATTATCGGAAAGAATTCTGTCACCGAACTATGCATCCACTTAAGTATCTTTTCGATGTTTTTAAATACACTAAAGAAGAAATGTAGACTTCTATCGTAAGAGAGCATTCATAAGAATACCAAGGTTTACCTTAGTGTATGAAATACTGTTCAAAATTTAATCTTTTTGGTATTTTATGTGCGTTCGCAAAGCCATCATCTAACACCATCAAACCCAATATCTTAACTCATTTGGATATATTATGGTAAAGTTAGCCAATATTGACTTATGAGTACCATCAAGGAAGTGGTCAAAAATCGTACCATAAATGTTTATTAGGATTATGGTTCAACAAATTAGAGAATTTTTCATGCAATATACTCAAAAGATAGAGCATCAACATTTGATTTCATCGATCTTCGATATTCATTTATCCATAACGACAAGTGATTCGAGCATCTTTTATTTAA